ATTACAATAAACTTTTAGGAAATATTTCTGAACAAATCATTAAACTATTAAACTATATACTTTAATCACCATATTATGAAATTTTACAATTTTGGTCACTTACCCGTATTTTGGGATGTTACAATCTTCCCCCCTTAAGAAAATTCGTCCTCGAATTTTCATTATACCAGGAGATAAGATATTGTCTACACATCTCCAATGCATTTTACTTTAACCTTTCTTAAAATCCATATAATGTAACTCATTATATAGACAGTAACCTCTAGTCTCATCACTCCATACCAATAATCCATCTATAATGTAAATCACTGACGTACATATTCTTAAACTTTCCTATAACAATATTCTGCATCATTCGATCTTTTAATATTCTCCTTATAAGAATCATCCCCCTATACCTTATTTTATCAATGCAGCAGAGAAACTATTCTATTTCAGAACGATAAAATCCTCTAACATTATCTACTGGTTTATTTCCAATCTTACTTCAAACTCATTGAATAACATTCATCAATTTAGTAAGAATTAAATTCTCCGAATTATAATGGGACACTTTCAATATATCTTACTTATCCACACACTGTACCCTAATATATTTGTCACTGTCATAATACTATGAATAATTTCTAACTGAATTCTCAATTCTTTCACCCATTCACTACTAATATACAAACATGCAATCCTAAATCAATCATTATCATAATGTATTTATTTCACACTAGAAAGATACCTGCTATTATCTCCGGATCATCAAAATCTTCATTGGTATTGATATTATACATTCGAGCAGTGGAGCGTATTTCTTGTTGAGTAGAAGATTCAGGTTGGCTCCTACCTCTTCCTCTCCTTCTCCCTCTCCCAGGTATCATAACAGATCGTTCTGACTGTACTGATTCTCCTTTCCCCAATGGGCAATCTCTTACAAAATGTCCCATTTCACCACATCGGAAGCAAGCTCCGGATTCTACTCTACATATTCCACCATGATATTTTCCACAAGTCTGACAATGTCTCTGTTGGGTTCTGTCCTCACCAAACCCTACTGATTGGGTCTGTCTAACTTTCCCCTGATTTGATTCTCTAACGGAGGATTCTACCCCTCCAGACCTTGCCTGAGACTGAGTACCAGAATCTCTACCCCTCTTGGGTGGTGCAGAACTCGATAAAGCTCCGGTTCTTTTAGATGATTGGGTTCTTTGATCCCCAAACCTTTCATTCTGAGCTCTCTCTAGAGCTTTAGCACGATTTACTATTTCTTGAAATGAGGACAAGTTCAATACTATTAACATTTCTTTCAACCTTGGGTGCAAGCCCTCTACAAACCACTCACACACATCCTTCTCTGTTGGAATCAACTCAGCCGCAAAACGACTTAACTTATTAAACTCGCACTCGTACTCATACACTGTGTGATTCATCTATTTCAGATTCAAAAATTCTTGCTTCATTTGACGGATAAATTGGTCTCCTATATACTTATGCTTAAACTCTTCTAAGAACAAAGACCATGTCATTTGATCATTGGTCATTCTCAAAGTGACATTTGTCCACCAAATTCTCGCTTGCCCACGAAGCAAGGAGACCACTCCATCTAACTTCTCTACATTAGAACAGCGGAGTCCATCTAAATAATTTTTACATCATTAAGCCAAAGGTCCGCAGCAACAGACCTTCTTCGGCTTCACCTTTAAACTCTGTAGCTCCTAAACCCTTCAACTCCTTTGCAACATTCATTCTTGGAGTTGAAGTAACAGGAGGTTGATAACGCGTCAATACCGCATCTAATGTTCTAAAGAACACATCTTGATCAGTTACAGGCACTCCAGAAGGTGTCTGTTCTTCACCTTGCCTGGCCAGGGCAGGTGAATTACTACTCTCAGCGGGTCGATCATCTCCCGCTTGACTTCTATAACTATCATGTCCGGACATCTATTAAGAATAAACATATCGTTCTATTAGCAAAACAACATACTCATTACTATACCAGATCAGAAGTTTTCACTATTTTGTTGGCATGTATACATTATAAGACACCCTAGACGCTTGTTTATGCCGAGAATCGGCTAAACCGTAGCTCTGATACCATTAAATGTAACACCCCAACCCGTACCCGACTTGAATACGGGTCCGAGATGTCACATTGACATTTTCAAAACCTTTACTCTTGTGAAAGTACTGAACCTTTGAATTTATGTTAAGAAAATACAGTCAAATATTATTCAATTGTGTGTGGTATCAAAATTTGAGATAAAAACGTTTTTATGAACGGTGAAATACGATATGAACAGTAATACAGTAACCTGTTACAGTGATTTTTCGTAAATTGTACATAACACTCATAAAACTTTAACAGTTCATTTCTTTGCATTTGTACTTATATATATATAAGTAAAAGATTACAAAACTCGATCAGAGCATAATACTTAATTTACCTACTTTACTTACATGCCAACCTATTTATCATAATTATACATACTGTGTAATTTACTTCTGATCTGGTCTTTGGGCAGAGATATGTTGTTACTTTGAACTTAGCTGATCCTTCTGCTTCTCAGTACCTACGTGTAAATCACTTACACGCTAAGTCATAGACTTAGTGAAGCAAAAACATAATAACAATAATGCATTTCTCATAAATATAAACATTCAATCGAGTCGCATATAATTCAGTATACATGATAACCTGAGATAATATAAGTACTTTTCGTACCTTTTTATCGTATAAATACATTTCTCTAAATACCATGGAACACATACACTACTTCACCACAAAACATACATAGTAGCAAATCAATTTATTTATTTACTCTCTGTAAAGACCATGTATTAGCCCATGTATACTTTTGAGAACTCAAGGTATGTGAGTACATTGAGGTTGTGCACCACTATGCTGTCACAACAGCTCGATCAATGTCCCGAAGGACCAGTCCATAGATTCTGAAGAACCTAGGTAAACAGTCCATATGTCCCGAAGAACATAGGTAAACAGTCCATATGTCCCGAAGAACATAGGTAAACAGTCCATATGTCCCGAAGAACATAGGTAAACAGTCCATATGTCCCGAAGAACATAGGTAAACAGTCCATATGTCCCGAAGAACATAGGTAACCCTCGACCCTTGGCATGCCAACTATACCCCTAGCTCTCATATCACATAACATGGGCATTATTATTTATGACCGTTCACATTACTTATTCATATTCTTACTCTTATAAACACATACCGTTTCTTTTCAGTCACGTATCACATATACGTGTAATCCTTGATCTCATAATCACATGTTACTTTCTCTTCTTATCACATACCAAATGTAGTGTAAACACATATCTAATATCATATTTGCATTTTCATGTAAGCATGTAAATCATGTACATATAACATACATCCATTTCTATGTACTAATGCATACAGAGTAATCACATAACATTATATAAGTTACTTCTTACCATAGTAACTCTATCATTGACTCATCACAAGCCAATGTTTGATCAATCACATAAGTACAATTTAAATTGCACTCACCTTAGCCTTGCTTTGATTCGATTAATCCGGAACTTGTTTAGGCTCAATATCTACATAAATATATCATTTCAAAAACTATCAGAAGCCTAAACTTTAAACTTGATGTTAATAACTTAAACCGGTTTAATAAATCGAATTCTGAATTTTCATTTAGGGGGGAATCGATACCCCCCCCAGGGGAATCGGTACCCCCTTAACATTCTGGAAATTTTTTCGTTCAAGAAGGGGAATCGATTCCCATTCATAGGGTATCGGTTCCCTCTACCCAGAAATTGCATTCTAAGCTCGAAAATCATCAATTTTCAACTCAAACCTTCCTATTTCACTTCCTTTAATACTCCTAACTTTAATACACATACTTAAACTTATTTCTATTCCATAATCACTTCTTTAACTTCAAATATAGTCATCCCTATGTAATTACAAAAATTCTACTAGTTTTGCAACATGTTCAAATTCCTATTCTAACACTTCCTATCCCTTAATTAACTTGATTACAAGTCAAATTCAACTTTCAATTCTCAATATACACTTTATTTCAATATTTCATTCCAAAACTCCTAATCTTTAAATCCTCATAAACTCTTCATTTTGTTGTTTTAAAGCAAATTAATCCTTCCTTAATCTTACTTAGCATCTAATAATCAAAACTAACCTTAAATTTCAGCACATAATCAACTCAAGAGAAAACTTACCTTTTGCTTGGCTTCACACTGAAGAAAATGAAGAAAGAGAGAAATAGATTTTTCTGGAAACTCTCCATCCTTATCCATATATATATATCATTTAATTATATTTTCAAGTCTAATGACCAATTTGCCCTTTAACTCTTTAGATAATTACAATAAACTTTTAGGAAATATTTCTGAACAAATCATTAAACTATTAAACTATTATACTTTAATCACCATATTATGAAATTTTACAATTTTGGTCACTTACCCGTATTTTGGGATGTTACATGGTGAGAGTTAGGCTCCCTGAGTAGCCATCATTCGTAAGTTAGAGGTGAAGTCTTCAAAGAAATAAATAGAAAATGGTGAGGAAATAGCTAGTTTACCTGTCATCAAAATTTTCGTCGGGGAAGACTCTCGCAACAATGGTCGAAGGCCACACAACATCTAATCCCTACCGGTCACCGTACTTGGTGGCCATCTTTCTCTTCAATCGCCTCTAAGAACCCACCCTTCAATTCCTTCGAGTGACATCCATGAGAACCCCATTAAACTTCGTATGTTGGCTTCCAACCAATTTCGATAATCACCATTGTTGGTCGAATGAATCGAGACCCAAACTGAATTTAAAACTCCTTATTTTCCTATCATAAATCCCAAATTACAGCCCCTAAAATTAATTAAAAGTCCTTAGAATTTTTCATCATTCTACCCAACGATTACACTTCCGATTACTTTCTTCAACTCCGGGCGAAAGACTCGAATAAAGACCATGGGCTCTTGAGCGTTTCTACCGGTGGTCATGCGACCAAGCGGAGAGAAGAGATGTGAGGGTGAGCTACGGTTGGAAGAGAAGTGGCCACCAAAGGATGGTGGCCGAGCATGGCAACGAAAGCCAAAAGAGAAGGGGTCTGGGCTGTCGAAGAGGAAGGATGTAAGGGGAAGAACGGCTGAATAGGTGTTAGGTTTAATAAATTAGCTTAGTTTTTTTAGATTACATATTAAATATTTTGGGTAAATTATGTTTTTGTCCTTTTAAGTTTAGTGTTTTTACGTTTCCGTTACTTTTAAAGTCTGTTTTCGAAATTTGACATTTTAAGTTTGTCTTGATTTTGTTATTTTACAGATTTAGGTTTTAGTTAAAATTTTTGGATTATTTGAGCTACTGTTCATTTGAGTTTTCTCCTAAATTTATTTTAGCCCTAATCGAATGTTTTCATGTATTTAATTTTGCCCCTTTACGTCACTTACATTTAATTTCAGTCCCAAGTAGTATTATTGTATTTAACTTTTATTGTTTTAGACATTTGAACTCTATTTTTTTTGTTATTTTTTGAGTCCTTAAATATTTAGGATTAGTATTTTAGGAAAATTACATAGAGACCACTCAGTTTGGGTTATTTAGGTGTAGATACCTTATTTATGTGTGTTGTTTTATTTAAGTCCCTAATTTATTTTTTATTTGTATGTTAAATTTTACATTTATTTAATTTAGTCATTTTTTAATGTGTATATGTAAACCTTTTTTTTAATTTATAGTTTAGCATGTTATGATATTTAGGCCACATGTGTATATAATACGTTAATATGCATAAAATATGATTTTTAATTAAAACATATGTATATAATTTTTTGTATGTCACATTGTATGCTATTTTTTTAATTTTGTTTAATTAATTTTGGCATGACTTTTTTGGCATAATTTGTATGATACCCTTAGTGCATAACTCGACTTATAATACATAACCGGACTAAGGGTAATACCCTTTTAATTTAAAATTGTTTTGAGTGACTTGTATTAACTGATTAGAGAGTCGCTTTGACTATTTTAAATTAAAAGCGTATCCCGGAAGTGAAACAAAAAAATTGATTCGTCACCTAAAATTTGGGAACGAAAGAAAAGGAAATGTTCGTTTATTTAAATTTATCGAGAAAAGATTGTTATAACTTTTAAGATCTGATCTCGATATTTGTAAATGATCGAACATTCCTTTTCTTTCTAAAACGACTCGGTAATTTTAATTTAATTTATTTGAGTGCTTTTGAATGTTTTTAAATTTACATCTTTGTCTTATGGGATCAAAAATCAAATTAAATTCGAATTTGTAAAGTTCATTGCAAAGACGTTAATTAATCGACTAGGTACCGATTTAGGGCGTTGTGGGGGTGCTAATCCTTCCCCATACGTAATCGACTCCCGAACTCGGATCTTGGTAACGCAGACCTCAATTTGTTGTTTTAATTAAAATTAATTTTTATTTAAAATGACAGAATTTTTGGGTGCCCAATCACACCCTAATGAAAGATTGGTGGCGACTCTTCGAACCGTATTTTTCAATCGTAAAGGAAATTCAAAATTTTTCGAAACGAGAGGTCTTTTAAATCGCATTTGTTTTTTTAAATTAAAAAGAGATAATTTAGAATTAATGTGGTTTTCAAAATCTCACTTTTTCACTCTAAAAGAAAAAATCGTTTCGACAGTTTGGCGACTCCGCTGAGGACTTTTTTTTAGAGAGTCAGGCCGATAGTCGATTAATTAATTGTCTTTGCAATTGAAAATTATAAATTCATTTTAATTTGGTTTTTGATCCATTGTTTGATTTTTAATAAGTTTTGTTTGTATTTTGATTTTTTTTTAATTTAATTCGATTAACAATTAAATAGTTGTACTAATTTGTTTGCTAATGATTTCAGATTAATTGTATGAATTTAGGAAATTTTGAGTGTTTTTATTGTGCTTTTCCGCTTTTCCTCACACACTGCACAGTTGCATTTTCATGACATGAGCTAAAACCATGCTCCGTCCTAATTAAGTAGGAGTGAGAGACTATGCCCTCGTGTGGTTTTCACCTCCGCATGGGATAGTGGATCGCTCCTGGAGCTCACCCCTTATGGTCCTCGTGATGGTAATCACCTCCGCATGGACATAAGGAGGTGTGTTCCCTCGAAATTGAACTCAATCCCCTAAAGCCTATGATGGGCCAAGATTGAGGGTTCGGTAGCCTAAGGGGGCACCGACAAGGACAATTCGAGAACCTATTACTTTAGAACCGAACCCAGCATATAGTGAACATAGAGCCCGAGCTTAGGTTGAGCCAAACCCGAACCTTAAGAATCCCGTGAGGAGGGTACACAAGGGAAAGCTTTTTTGAGTTATTTATTTTCATTTTTCGAATAAATGCATGCGAACTAGATATCATGCGGTTAGGTTTATTTTTTGAATAAGCATGCGAACTAGATATCATGCGGTTAGGTTTATTTTTTGAATAAGCATGCGAATTAGATATCATGCGGTTAGGATTTATTTTTGTTAATAACAAAGCATGGGGGTAGATATCATGTTGGGTAGGATCTGATAAAGCATGATTGGGTAGCCAGCATGTGGGTAGGATTCTTGAACAAATTATTATCCCGACTTAATTGCTTTATGTTTGCTAACCGATCTCTTGTTGTCTTTGTCTTGTTTCTTTTCTGTTTTGCATTGCACTATCCATTACATGGTGTTGATTTGGGATCGATGTCCATATAGAAGGCCAGTAATATGGAACGAACGGTTCAGAAAGAGGTTGATGACAATGCCGATTGGAAGAGATGTAGCGGTGTAAGTCCACCCGCCATTGGAAGAGGAGGAAACAAATATGCTTTTTGTCAACACCTTAAAGGCTCCTTTTTTCTCGCATCTTATCGGTAATCCTTATCGAAGTTTTACTGATGTAGTTACGGCAGGAGAAATGATTGAAATGACAGTTAAGAGTGGAAAGCTCAAGGGAGGAGAGTCTAGTAAGAGGCCACCAATGAGGAAAAAGCAAAACAAAGTCAGTAATGTGAGGCAGTACGATTCTAATCATCACTGTTTCCCGTCCTCAAGGAGCAGGGTCATAACACAAAATGACAATAGACAAGGGGCAAGGGACCAGAGGAGAGAGAGGCCTCAATTTGATCCAATTATGATGACTTATAAGGAATTGTTTCAAATTTTGTATGATCGACATGTGGTTTCGTCGTATCACGTGACACCAATGCAACCTCCTTTTCCTAAATGGTATGATGCTAGTGCTCAGTGTGAGTACCATGCAGGGAACCCCAAGCATTCCATTGAGAATTGTACTGCTTTTAAGAAGGTTTTCCAAGCTTTGAGAATGAGGAATATCATCAACTTTGGTGACAGTGAGCAGCCGAACATAGCTCAGAATCCGTTGCCAAGCCATGCAGGGCAGGAGTTAACGCGATTACTGAAGAGAGAGGAAAAAATTGTAAGGAATGTTAATGAGGTGGTATCACCTATGAGTTGGGTATGGTGCCAGATGGTTAAGGTAGGATGGTTGAAGCCCAGTTTGGTGGTTGAACAGTTTAAAAATGGAGAGGTATGTCAGTATCATAACAGTGAAGGACACAGTATTCAGCAATGTCCTGACTTCCTATCTTTGGTACAAGACATGATGGACAGTAAAGAAATTGAGTTCTTTAGAGAGACTGCTGAAGAAGAGGAAGCGGAAGTTTGCGCTTCAGAAGGATCGTCTAAAGGGGTATACAATGCCAGTTGCCCCCTAATCATTACTCCCAAGGATCAAGTTGCTGAGAAGGTAGCCCCGAAAGTGGTTATTACACCTCCATCTTCATTCCCATATCGGGATAATAAACAAGTGCCTTAGAGATATGATTGCCAGATGGGAGATGTAACAAAAGAGAATGAGGAAATAGATGAGGTGGGACACTTTACCAGAAGTGGTAGGTGTTATTCTCTTAATCTACCTAAAGAGTCTGAGAAGAAGGTTACAATTGATAAGGGGAAAATGTTGATATTCAGATAAAAGAAGATGAGCATGTTATCAATGAACCAGTAACCGAGAGTGAAGCGGTAGAATTTTTGAAGTTTCTGAAGCACAGTAAGTACAGTGTTGTTGAATAGTTACACAAGTTGCCTGCTTGTATTTCAGTTTTATCATTACTTTTGAGTTCAGAGGCCCATAGGAATGCTCTGTTAAAGGTTTTGAACCAGACTTTTGTTACGAAAGAGTTGCCCATTGAAAAGTTGGACCGGTTAGTTTCCAATATACAAGCTGATAATTTTTTATCTTTTTCTGAGGATGAGATCCCTTCTGGGATGATTGGTAGTCAGAAGGCTTTGCATATCACAGTCAAGTGTAAAGGGCATGTGTTGTCCCGGGTTTTGGTTGATAATGGTTCAGCTTTGAATTTGATGCCCTTAGTGACTCTAAAGAAGCTTCCATTAATAGTACACTTATGAGAACCTGTCAAAGTATGGTTCGAGCTTTTGATGGGACTAAAAGAGAAGTGTTGGGCAAGATTGATGTTCCTCTGACTATTGGTCCAGCAACTTATGAAGTGGAATTTCTCGTAATAGACATTATGCCTACGTACAATTGTTTGTTGGGAAGGCCTTGGATTCATCAGGTCGGTGCAGTTTCGTCCACATTGCACCAGAGACTGAAATTTGTGATCAATTGAAGGTTGGCATGTATTCATGCTGAAGAGGACATTATTGCTTCTGTTTCTACTACTGCTCCATATATTGAAGTTGATGAGCAAGCGGTCGAGTATTCTTTCAGATCGTTGGAGTTTGTCAATGCTACGTTCGTGGCCGAAGCCAGGAAGATACCAAAGCTTCGATTGTCAAACTGTACCAAAATGGGACTCAAACTGACCCTTGGAAAATGAGCAAAAGTTGGGAAAGGGTTAGGAAGTCAGTTACAAGGACCAGTGAATCCAATATGCCCTGTTACTAAAAGAGATCGATTTGGTTTGGGGTATTAGCCAACTCCGAGGGATAAGCTGAGGGGAATTAAGAAGGGTCAGGAAATGAGAAAGGCCAGATTGGCTGGTGAAGACCTTAGCGGGAACCCATGATCTTCCCGCCGTTGAGCAGCATTTTCATATATGGGGGACAT